ACCCATTTAAAAAATTGTTGAGTGCCGAGCCATTTCCCGAAGTAACCAAAATATCATCCATTATGTTCCCAAGCTGAAGTTTGCCTCCAATCTTCTTCTTCCTCCTTGAATAACCTGCCATTCCTTCTCAGAAGACTGGCTCATCTGATCATCGTGTTGGTAAACAGAACGTTGGGCAGATCAAAAGCTGATGAGCACTAGAAAAAGGATTGTCAACTGTTGCAACGACTGTAGGTTCAAGTGTGTGTGAAGCATGAAATGTCTCCTCTTCACCTAATGCTTTCTCCTAATGCTTCACCTAATGCTTTCTGCAATTGAGGAGGGTGTGAAAGTGTAGGTTGCTCAGCAAGGCCATCTAGCTTCTCATCGATTACAAAAATAGTATTTTCAGGGGAGGATCCACAGAGGCGATTAACTCAGACACCATAACCTATTTTGTGGTAATTTTCTCTTCAGATGAAACAAATATATCCAAAGCAGTGGGGTTAGATCCATTTTTATTCACTTGATCTTTAGATTTCAAATTAAGATGAAACTTATAGCATTTATCAAGGTTGTGCCTAAAGGAGGTCTATGCTCTTTAACAATTTGTTGTCAATATCCATTGTGAGTTATGTCCAACTAGACTTCAGTAAAATCAGGTAAAGTAATATCTCTTTCAACAAATATTATGTCCACAGAAGCTCTAGTTAGGTTAAAAGTGAGTAGATCTAGCTTCAAAGGGTTTCCAAGTATGACACCAATAGAGTAAAGAACCTGATGATGAAAAAATTGCAACTTGAGATTAGGTAGACTAAACCATACCAGTACAGTAGGAGATTCGCGCTTGGTGTCAAAATCAGAACAACACTTGAGTAGCTTCATTGGTTTACTAGCAATGTTAAGATATATTTTGGAAAAAATCTCAGTGTAGTCTTCAGGCACGGTTAGTTGAATTAATACGTGTCTCTCATTCATGAGCCCTAATTTCCACTTTCCTCTAATTTGAGATTATGAAGATTTTTTCTGATAACTTTCATAGGTCGGTATCTCCATTGAAATTTTCTAATAAGAGCAAACTTGAATTTATCAGTAAGGGATGAAATTTCTAGCTCAGAGAAAAAAAGTGTTGCTTTCCCATTTTTCCCGGCTTTCCCATTTTTCCGCTTTCCCATTTTTCCCGCTTGCAGTCTTGATAAATGGGCAATCACTTTCCCGTTGCTCATTATAACTTGAGGGGAAGACAACTGTCGTCTCCCTCTGAGAATTGCCCACCACGTGGGCAAAAGAAATTTTGCCAGGTTCAACCGTAGAGGAAGGAAGCTCCATCACAGCAAGAGAAGCACTGCCAAAGTCGGGCAGCGGCAAAAATAGTGAGCCGAAAGGTCGGGGCAAAAAAATTGCAGTTGTTGAAGCCATAGAACAGTCGCAGCTCGACGAGGCAGGTCTCAGAACAGTTGTAGCGGACGAGAGCGAGAGGAACCACGAGGAGACGACCTGACGCGGCTCGCAGCTCGATGACCACACAGACGAGACGACGAAGACGAGACAGTCAGTCGCAGCTCGACGTGGCTGCGCCCACAGAAGCAACAAGACGTTACGGCGACGAAGGAGTCGACTATCGCAGGAGGCTTCGCCTTCGAGCACGATCAAGCCAGGGAATCGCAATTATGCGAAACCCTAGTGGAACCGACTCCATTATAGTCATATATATATAT